GTTGAGTATTCTGAACTGTTTCAGTTATACAATCAAGACGCACTCGACAAATCTATCATCAGTTGCTATTGTCTGTAAGTGATTTCTTTTTGTAATTTAAGTCTCAAGCTAGCTGTAGTGATCCTTTTGATCAATCATTATCTGTAATTATCCTCACTATATTCTTTTCTGTGGTATTATGCAGGATGAAGATGTATGAAATGAGAAAAGGTGGACGCTATGGCATTGGGTTCATTGACCCAAACACCGTTAATGAATACACATGGAAAATAAACAAGCATTATGAAAAGCAGGTAGAGGACAGCATGCTAGAGTTCTTGAAGCGCCTCAAATACAATGAAGATATACTACTTCCTTACAACTTCTAGTGAGTCACACTTTCTTGTACTACAAATTCTCTGTTTTTGCCTACTAGCTAGCTACATGTTTTTGCTTACATATGCCCGCTTAATTAAGACATGCAAACGTGTGTGCATGCAGATTTCACTCGATCTTGTGTATCATTAAAGTTGACGCCGGAACAGTTGAAATACTGAACTCGCTACTCAAAGCAAATAGTGACTATAACATCTTGTTTGGGATAGTCAACAGGTAATTTCAATCATTATTAACTATATATCTCGGCCTATTTAGTTCGTCATTTCATGATATGAACTATTTAATAACCCCTTTATTCATTTTCTTTGTCGGCGGGCAGGGCTTGGGCAAGGTTCATCAGCGTCACGGAAGGCGAATGGAAACGACAGCTGAAATGGTTTCGACCCAAGGTAAGTAATTAAGTAGTACTAGTTAGCTAGCTAGCTGCCATTTCTTTAATTATCATGCTTGATTAATTATTATCTGATCAAATTAAATTCCATTCTCGTAATAAAGGCCCTGAAGCAGGCGCAGGGGACTGATTTGTGTGCATTCTGCGTTTGCGAGAACATTCGCATGATGGCGTCCGAAAGGAGCAGATCTCAAAGACAGGAATGGGTACGCTTGTCAGAACACTATTCACAATTTTTACACCATTATCGATATCTAGTCACACAACTAATACACATGCATATTGATCTCCTTCTTAACAGTTCAAAGAGGTGCAGGACAATCTCCTAGAAACGGAGCGCGTAGAAGCACTTCAAAAGGAAATAGCGGGATTTTTGCTCGACCATGTCATAAATCCAAAAGGAGAATACTATTACCCGCTACCGCCTCCATCGATCAGGTCATGAACCACTTCCAATTGTCATCGTGCTCCGAAGGCACCAATTAGGCTAATGCCACTGGCTCCGAAGGCAACATGCATATGTAGGAGAAATTGTATATAGCTATACATGTGTGTATGTGTGAATTAATATGGTGGTTTGTGAGACATTGATAATATATATATGATTGGTTCTACTAGAAATTCTATTTATATATATATATATATGCATAACGTGTACAATGTGTAGTACCGTAAAATACCAGCAAACGAAAAAGAATTAAAATGGAAAACACAAAATTAAATGAAAAAGAAATCATAAAACCAAAAAAACCCCAAACATTTTAGTACCGGTTGGTGTTACCAACCGATACTAAAGGGCTCCCGGCCCCCGAAGTTGGCTCGTGCCACGTGGTTGCCCTTTAGCACCGGTTCATGCTGAACCGGTACTAAAGGGGGGGCCTTTAGTGACCACACTTTAGTGCTGGTTATGGAACCGGCACTAAAGGGCCTTACGAACCGGTGCTATTGCCCGGTTCTGCACTAATCCACGTTCCACATGCACATGAAAAAGGGCAGCAACGCCATGGTCATTGGCGTTTCTATGATGGGCTGCAACGCCAGCGCCTTCGGTGTTTCTTATCTGGTCCGCAATGCTAGCTACCTCGACGTTTTTTCTTTGTTCAGAAACGCTAGCTATCTCGGCGTTTCTATGTTGGACAGAAACGACGCGGGCTGTGGCGTTGCTAAAAGGGTCAGATCGTGAAATACTTTCACATCGAGTTCATTTTGTGACAAAGTTCGTTCAAAGGGTCAGAATAGTGATTTCGTCCGATCGACTCGGTGTCGGTGGTCCGTCGCCGCGATGGACTCCTGGACCAGGCTTCAGCTGGGCCAGGCCCACGATCTAAATTTTCTGTAAAGTTAATGTTAATAGGGAATCCTCAAAAAGAAAGTTAATGTCGATAGGGGATTATCAGCAGCTAGGCCATCAGTTATACATTATGAAAAAAAATTGTCTAAAAAACGCAGTTAGGGCATTTACAGCTGGACTTCACAGATTTTAAACCGCTAGTAACTATCATCAATGAAGAGATGTGTAGATTGGAAGAATCCAACCAATAGACACACAAAGACACACAAACAACGACCGGATTCAAGTAGATCCATCAAAGACAAACACCAACCGAATCAGAAGAGATCCACCGAAGACACACCTTCACACGACCTCCGACGACATTAGGCACATTGCCAGAACCGATGCTAGATAAAAGGCCTTAGAGCATCTACAGCTGGGCGCCTCGTACCGGTCTCAAACGTCCGGACGGCCCGCTCGGTCACTGGCCGGTCTCGTTTTCCTGACCCAGTCGGGCGCCTCAAATGCCTAGGCTGTCCGGCACCCCTCATATCCAGCCCAAATATGGGGCGGATATGGGGGCGCCCGGGCACGCCCGCCACGTCACCCCGGCCCACCCCTACCCCACTCTGTCCCCACAAATATCCCCAATCCGGAAACCCTAACTCACTCCACTCTTGATTTGTCTCCTCTTCTTCCCTCCGATTTCTACGATTCGATCCACTCCAACCACTCCGGTGACTGCGGCCACCATGTCGAGCGTCGGCAGCCGCTCGTCCTCCGACTTTGACGAGGATCTAGCCCTCCGCATTGCCCTCGAGAGGTCCAAGGTGGAAACGGGTGGTAGTTTTGGATCGGCCTCGCCTTTCCCCCGTCGACGCTGGCTCCTCCTGGCCCACGCTTGGCTCCACACGGGTTGCGCAGTCCGCGCCTCCCCACGTCGTCCCCTTGCCCCACCGCCTGTTGTTCCCCCACGCGGGCAGCAGTGGGTGCTTGTGCCCACCACCATGGCGGCGGCCCGAACATGCATGACAGAGTCAGAGGCGCGAGCCGCCCGCCGCGAGAGGCAGTGGGCAAGGGAGAAGGACGCGGCAGAGAGCTCTGTCCGCCGCCGCCACGGGTTACCCGCGGAGCCCGACGAGGACGAGCGGCTTCTCGCGTGGGTCTGCCGCTAGTCGCTTATGACGGCGGAGACAGACGCTCAGCGGCTCCGCCGGAAGAATGCGAAGGCTCTCGGGCTAGCTATCGAGCACTCTGAACGTGAGGCCAAGGAGAACGTGATGGAGGCGGCTCGGCTGGCCAAGCTGAAGCGACAGCAGGACCGGGCCGTCCGACGCCTCAAGGGCCTCATCATCGTCTCCTCCTCTTCCGACGGCTACAACTGCCCTGACGACAGGAAGGGGAAGGGGCCGGCCCGGAAGTGGTGAAGATCCGCTTTGCTTCAATTTAGTTTTGAGTTTTAGATGTAGTCTCAAGTTGTCCGTCGTTTGAACTTTGGTGGTCGTTTGAGCATATGATCTTCTGGTGAAAGTATTGTGCTTGCATGTGTCCATTTGTTGATCTACGTATTTTGATCGACATTACATGGTTTAGTATGAATATAGAGGATCGGATATGAGATACACGGATGTGGACGAGGCTATTAGAGAAGTTCCCGGTCACTGCCCACAGACGCGTCCGGGCGTGTCCGCGGGCGTTTAAGGGGTCATATTTGTCCTCTGCAGCTAAGCATCTACAAAGAGCATCTACAACCGGCATCGTCAAATCCTCCTCAAACATGGACGTTCCCGGTCAGTGATCGGATAGGAGAGAGAAGGAAAAAATAACCTAACCGGACCTCTTATATCATCCCTGTATGTCTGGGCTGTCCTCGAACCCTCGTATTAAAGACAAATGTAGGGTGAATACGAGGACTCACGGACGCGCCCGGTCAGTCTGCCACGTAAGACGCGGCCCACCCTGAACCACTTTTTCTCTTTTCTTTATTCATTCTTTTCTTTCTCTCTGTTCATCTCCATTAATCATGTGCAAGTGATCGGACATATAAGAAAGAAAATGAGGAGTGTGGATGTATGAACGGACAAATAAGGGTTCAAAATGAACACGCCTGGTCACTGACCCTGCGTGTCTTCGGACGTTTATGGGGTCATATTTGCTGAGTCCGACTGTAGATGCTCTTTCGGAGAAGAGTTGTATAGGATCTGCATTAGATGAGATCAATAAGATCTTTTTTTAAGATACAAGACAAGTTCAAAAATTATGAAGAAAATTGAAGACACTCATCCAATCTTTGATGTACAAACTTAAAAAGTTTCAGCTCCTAATTCAAACTACACTTAGACAATTAAAAAAATCGGATATGAATACTATCAAAATCAGTGGAAGGCAGGCGTCCTCGCGTGCTGCGCCACTTACACATCATGGAGAACGGCGTTTTGGCTCTCGGAAGCGCGCGCTCCCATGTGAATAGTAAACAAAAAATATAATAAATGTTTTTAAAAAAATCTTTTTTAGATGTTCGTGTTAGTGCCACAAGCATCCTTAAAAAGATTTCATGGGAAACAGCAGCGGTGTTTCACTGGTGAAAAAACAAATTTAGGATGATATTTTGGAGTAACATTTGCTGTTTATCTTTTTCACAGGCTTAAATGTTTAATCTTTTTGCCTACAAATTTGGATGTAGCATTGGATGTGACAGTACACATGGGATTTTTGTTGAAATTTTTTTGGCATTTCAAAAAATATCCAACGGATTTCCGGTTGTGATATCATTTGTTTTTCCAACTTGCTGATTGGGGTCAATTTGTACCCCATCCTCGTCTCTTTGAGCTGACCCAGATAGTAACCTTCACACTGACAGGTGGGTCCCACCCGATTTAACCAGAGATAAAAAAGAGAGGAGAAACCCCAACCTTATCTCGTAATCGCTCCGCTTTCCCGCGTCCGTCCACCGCGCCGATGCCTTCTGCTCCTCCTCCTCCTCCTCACACTCCACTCGCCGCCCCGACCGCCGCCGTCTCCGTCACCTGCTCCTACCGGGAGGACGATGACGGCGCCGCCTCGTGGTCGCTCTCCTCCGGCGCGCCCTCCTCCTCCTCGCCGTCGTCGTCGCGGGGGCGCCGCCCGCCGCCTTACCGGCGGCTCCTCCACGACGAGGCGCGGCGCCTCCGCCAGGAGCGCCGCGGCCAGGGCGCCGGCGCCGGAACGCCCCGGTGGGTGCGCCGCACCGAGGGCCAGATGGCCCGGTACGTCGAGGACGACCGCGCCGGCCACGTCCACGGCCGCCACGTCGTCGCCGCGGCACGCGCCGCACGCGCCACCGCGTCCCGCCCGCCCGCCGGCGGGTCCGCCATGCGAGAGGCCATGGCCTCCTTCGTCGCCAAGCTCACCTTCCGCGAGATGTGCGTCGTCCTCCGCGAGCAGCGCGGGTGGCGCCAGGCCCACGATTTCTTCTCGTGGATGAAGCTCCAGGTACAGAACAAGATTCCCCCACACAATCGCAGCATCCGAACCATTTTTTTTCTTCAAATTTTCCGTGATTTAATCCGCCCCGATGCGATGTTGAGCTGAATCCTCAGCAATTTTGCTCCGTTTTGAGCTGAAAATTCTGAGCGCTAGTTGAACAATTCTGATTCATGCGTGTATAATCAACCAATGGATCATTGCTGTTCATCTTGGTTCTTTTTTATTCTCAGACTTTGATTTTTTGGAAAAATCTCGGTCATTTTTCGTTCAAAATTCATCACTCGTTTTTCATTCAAGAATTCAAATTTTGGATGGTGCTTTTCGAAAAGCTCGTCAATTTCGTTAAGGGGCGTGTATATATTTCACAAAACGAAATCCAAAACCTTGGTCCGCACCTATTTTTCTTGCAGCTGTGCTACGAGCCCAGCGTGGTCGCCTACACCATCCTCCTCAGGGCGTATGGCAACGCCGGCAAGATCGAGCTCGCCGAGGAGGCGTTCCTGGAGATGCTCGAGGCCGGCGTGGAGCCGGACGCGGTGGCGTGCGGCACCCTGCTGTGCGCGTACGCGCGCCGGGGGAGGCACGGCGACATGATGCTCTTCTACGCCGCGACGCGCAGGCGCGGTGTGGCGCCGCCCGTCTCCGCCTTCAACTTCATGCTCTCCTCCCTGCAGAAGCACAGGCTCCACGGCAAGGTGATCCAACTCTGGAAACACATGATGGAAATGGAAGAAGCCAACAATGTGGTGCCAAATCACTTCACATACACAGTTGTGATCGGTTCATTTGTCAAGGAGGGTCTCCTGGAGGAGGCCATGGATGTCATGGGGAAGATGAGGGCCTCCCGACTCATCCCGGAGGAGGCGACGTACAGTTGCCTGATCAGCTTGAGTTCCAGGCATGGCAGAGGGGAGCAGGTTGTGATGCTCTATGAGGAGATGAGGGCTCATGGCATTGTCCCCAGCAACTACACATGTGCATCCCTCCTGGCACTCTATGACAAGAGTGAGGACTACTCGAAGGCGCTCTCGCTCTTCTCGGAGATGGAGCGAAGCAGGGTTGTCATTGATGAGGTCATCTATGGGATCCTCATTAGGATCTATGGTAAGATCGGGCTCTACGACGATGCGCAGCGCACTTTTGAGGAAATTGACAGTGCGGGTCTTCTGAGTGATGAACAGACTTATGTGGCAATGGCTCAAGTTCACATGAATGCTCGCAACTATGATAAGGCATTGCAGGTTTTCGGTTTGATGAGATCGAGGAATGTGAAGCCTTCATCGTTCTCTTACGGCGCTCTTCTTCGATGCCATGTCGCGAGGGAAGACATAGCTGCAGCTGAAGATGTCTTCAGAGCTCTGTGCAAATATGGTCTCCCTGATGTGTTCTGCTGCAATGACCTACTGAGATTATATGTCAAGCTGGGCCAGCTAGAGAAGGCAAGTGCATTCATTCTGAAGATGAGAAAAGAAGATATCCAGCTTGATGAGGCCCTCTGCATGACTGTAATGGAAGTTTGCTGCAAAAGCGGGATGATCGCCGATGCGGATAAGATACTGAAAGAGATGAACAATGGTGGAGTGACCATGAAGAGTTCAACAATGGTTTCTATGATAGAGATGTATGCTAGAAACAGAACCAGTGTGATGCAGGAACAAGATAGTTCGTCGAAGGCACTAGCCTGTCAGACCGACAGTTCGGCACTGAACGCGGCGTTGAAGTCATTGTTGGACACACCTGGGGGTTCGTCCATCGCATGCCAATTGATCAGAAAATTGGCTAGGGAAGGTGAGGAAGCCAGGTACCACACAGATCATGGTGTTCATGCCTAACCATACTGTCATCCACTGCTGTTTATTTATTTATTTTTCTGCAGGGAGGACATGTGAGGCAAAATTCCTTCATGAACAGCTGACTCAGTTGGGAGTCAAGCCTGAAGATTCAGCAACAGCCACTCTCATTGTCCAATATGGCCAGGAACAGAAGTTACATCAAGCAGAGGAACTGTTTGAGTCAGAATCGACATCGTTTCCAATAGGAGCGCCTGTCTACAATGCCATGGTCGATGCATTATGCAAGTGCGGCAATATCGAGGAGGCGTATCGTCTCTTTATGAAAATGGCTGATCAAGGCCATAGCAGAGATGTTGTGACAATTAGCATACTTGTCACTCACCTGACCAAACATGGTAAATATTTTTTCTAACTGCTACCAATCCTTATGCAGTAAGTTTGGTGAGGCGCTTCGCTTCTGTGTATACTCACACTGCGACATTACTCCCAGGAAAGTTTCAGGAGGTGGAGAACATCATACATGGCTGCTTCCATGGTGAAGTTGAGCTTGATACTGTTGTGTATAATACATTTATCAAGTCGATGCTCGAGTCAGGTCTGGATAAACATCTTTTCCTCTTCATAAGGTGGGCAAGCAAAATTTTCAGGGCATGGGTGCCATGGCTAACTGCTACAGCTTTAGTTTCCAAACAGGCAAACTATACTCAGCTGTCAACATATATGATCGCATGATATCCACTGGGGTTCGTCGGTCCTTGCAGACTTTCAATATAATGATAAGGTAGATAATCTTGATAAAACCACAGGAAAATGGGAGTTGGGAGTATGCAACTGTTTTTTCTCTTTTATGTTTGTGTTGAGACTTGAGACCACTTTGTCATTAGCTTCAGTTTTCTTGTTCAGTGTTTATGGCCTAGGAGGAAAGCTGGACAAGGCTGCTGAAATGTTTGCTGCTGCACAAGAGCTAGGCTTGCTGATCGACGAGAAGATATACACTAACATGCTTAACTTCTATGGAAAGGCTGGTTAGTCCCTTCTACCTTGCGTATAGGAATCAAAGAAGATTTCCCTTTTCATGTTCGACGAGTTTTTCGCACTCTCGTTCGTACTATTCAGTGCAATTTCTTCAGGGAGACATCAGGAGGCGTCTTCACTATTCGATAGAATGAAGGAACTTGGTATCATGCCTGGAAAGGTATGCTTCCGTTGGTGTCTGACTTCTGAAACTACAGTTATCTGCATTGAGATTGACTACTGTGACTGAAACTTGCAATCAATGTGCAGATCAGTTTCAACTCCATGATCAATGCCTATGCCACTTCCAGGCTGCATGATGAAGCAGAGATTGTTTTCCAGGAGATGCAATCACACGGTCAAGTTCCCGACTCGACGACGTACCTTGCATTGATCAGATCATACTCAGAAAGTAGATGCTACTCCAAAGCTGAGAAAGCCATCCAGATGATGTTGAGCAGCGGCATAACCCCTTCATGCCCTCATTTTAGCCACCTCATTATTGCCTTTCTGAAGGCAGACCAGATTGATGAAGCCCAGAGGATCTGCGGCCAGATGCAGGAGATTGGTGTGGCTGTTGATTTAGCATGTTGCCGGGCAATGATGAGGGCGTACCTTGAGCACGGTCGCGTCGACGAGGGCATATCGCTCTTCGAGACAACACGCGGGTCACTGAAACCTGACAGCTTCATCCTGAGTGCTGCATTTCATCTCTATGAGCATTCAGGCAGCGAGCCTGAAGCTGGGGATGTGCTGGAAGCCATCGGTCTACATGGTGCCTCTTTTTTGAGAAGTTTAAAGGTTGGATCAAAGTTGGAACCAACTTAATAACGACCATATCATGTGCCCATCAAGCCAGCAACCATCACAGGTATCTTCCTCTTGCATGTATGTTCTTCCACAAATTTATTTCCTACTGATTTGTGTTACTAGATCCAGATGAGCCCATTGTTGTGTATGTTGTTCTAGATGATATTGTACTAGTTCATATGTACATTAGGACAAGTTTTATACCAAGATGTTGTAAAATGTACATTTCAGAAAAATATTTCAGAAACAGTGATATATAACTTCTCCAAAATGTATAACTTAATGTTGTACTGATCTGTTTGATCAACTCACAGCATTTAACATGTTACAAAGAATGAAGACTTAACAGTTCGCCGTCTGAAGCTTGAAGGTGTATTTTCAACAGCAAAGGAGGTCTGTTACTCTGCTTCCACTTAAAAATCCCATATACAGGGTGAATGGTTAGTCTAGTAATGAGATTGTAAAATTGAAAAATAATAAACAGTTGACCAGGGTTCTTCCAAGTTCAATCTGCAAGTATGGAGATATAACTTTTTTGGTATTACCCATTAAAGAATTGCCTGCTATTGTGCCATTTACCTCTGCAAGTGGCCGATTTGTCTCAACTTTCCTAGTCAGATACATACAGTTAGGAAGATTCTCTGAAACTTTCCGGTAAAAAAAGATATTCTCAGAAGTTCAAACTTCCAAAAGAAGGTGACATCTATTCTACTTTTATTTTGTGTTATAAGCACGCAAAACAATATGTTCCGTGTGATTATTAATGTTACTCAGAGATGGGACGAAAATATAGCTGTCATATTTCAATGTGGGGCTTAAAAGATGTACTTATTTCATAAAAATCGCAGCAATTGCACCTTTCTATCTATTTGAATTGTCTGAGATAGTTTACCAGTCAACGTGCCAGGAAATTAAAGTGCTGGACTGGGTTGGGCCGTTGTTGTCAATCTCTCAATTTCTGAATGTTAGTGATTTATAAGAATTCTCATACATTGAACATCTCTGCAGTTTAAGAAAACAAAGTTGACAAAGTTTCTGACTTGTCACATATGATTCATCCAGTGCAATGCTAACCAGAACAGCTAGAAACTAACTCTGCCAAAGCTCTGCCACTACCAACAAGCTCCAGCCACTGTAATAAACATCTCCAACCTGGAATCATGTTTAATCTGTTTATTTGGGTTTAGAGCATCTGCACAGAAAAAATAAAAGCATAATGGAGGTAGAAGTAGCTCCTCAGCGCAAGATTTCTTTGTGGGTTCATCGCTCAGTCGGAAACCAAATTTTCAGCCAATTTACTACTCTCATTGAAATAACAGTTCAATTACTTGGGGTTGAGGCAAACAAGCTGTCTCAATTGCAAATTCGAGTATAGAGTCATCATGCTGAAATTTAAAATCTGTTGAGACCAACATAATTAGTTCCTACCCAAGTTACGAAATTCGACTATCAACAACGAAGAAGGTGGATAGATTCTTACAAATCCTACAAATGAATCCACTCCAAACAAGATATTGCAGCTGTGCATCACGGTGATCACCAGCACCGACGACAAGAGAGCATGCTAGGGACAACCCACATAGGTTGCACCCTGTTGTCACGGCCCATGAAAATGAAGATGTTTGGATTGAGTTTAGAGCCATCTCCCTGCAGCGGCTTGCCCACCTCAAGTGCAACCCAACTTTCAGCCTCATGGCAGTAGCAGTATATTGGCATATAAGATAATCCAGTTTGCATATTCCAGTTCAACAAGAAGCAAGGAAATTTGAAAATCCTTATAAGCTCTGTTTTGGGAGCTTATCTTCCGCAGACATCTTGCGTCTAGAGGAGCTGCAAAGCAGATAGATTTTTAAGCTTACATACAAATTGGAAGAGAAGATGGACTGTCAAAGATCCTTTTCCAGTAGCACAAACAAAGAGGGCCTGAAGCAAGTGATTGTCTAATCTCTACTTGGGAAGACTTCCAATCTAGAAAAACCAAAGTTGAACAAATTTAGAGTACATAGGGGGGAAAGGGGTGGAGATCTGAACTCCAGCTAAGCCTTCACAAACAAATTTGGAGTAATATTGCAAGATTGCTGTCTCTAATCTTCAAACTAGATATATGCACACACGATTACAGATAGGTACTACATAACAAGAAAGGAAGGCGTCATACCTCAAGCAGCCTGTGCTCAACTGCCAGAGAAGTGAGGGTCTAGCTGAATACAGGATCAGGCAACAGCTTTATCTTGAAGACTCCAAGAACCTGATGTTTATGAAGAACTCCTGTGTTGATCTCGGGTTTGCAGCTGTGTTTAAATTACACTGATCGGTTTAGGACCAGCTCATTGATTAAACGAATCAACCATTAGCTGTAGATGATAACTTTGTCAAGTCAAATGAAGTATATGGACCATGTGGCATATCGTGGAAAGCGATCAAAACTTGATATGAACCCCCAAAAATAATGTATATGAGGGCGCCCCTCGATGTAATTGATTAGTATAAACTAGGCAGGAGGCCACGTACAGATGACGCATCACCGACGAAAACCAAAGCAGAACAAACGTAACATAGGACCAACTAAGCGGGACGAAATCAAGAATATCACCTCCCTTTAATAGTAGGTATAGATATAGATATACGCGAGATGGTACTAATTTGGGTCTGCCTCAAAAAGATGTCCGTTCGCATAGGAATCGCGTGACTGGGCCGACCCATTTGGATTGACCTCGTGCGAGAGGTCGGGCGAACCTTTTTTTTATAATGGGCTTTTGGTTGGACTGAACTTTTTCTCAAACCTTGGAGTAGACAGGGTGCAGCGGCCGCTACAGTATCAAATAATCCCACCCCGTAGAAACTAGGCGCCACATATAGATGACGCATCACCGACGAAAACCAAAGCAAAACAAACGTAACGTAGGACCAACTAAGCGGGACGAAACCAAGAATATCACCTCCCTTTAATAGTAGGTATAGATAATTCAGTAAACATGTGACAGCGGCGTAGTTACCGCTAACCACATCTGTGTGTGCATACCGAATTTGTATGTCCTTTGGTTGCAGCTTCGCTGCCGTGCATACGGCTCCCAATGCAAGAATAACCTGTATGATCCTAAAATTAAAGAAAGTTGGTCTCATACGCTTCAGGTTCCACAAGGGAAAGGATCAAATGTGTAAGCCAGCGCCAAAGTGAACACAAACAACTTACAACACCAAGGAAATGTGCAATAAGAACATCCCAATCATTTTCGCGCAGTGAAGGAAGCAAGTGCTCAATAACACCCTTGTCTACCTGATACATATATAATATGACTGGTAATTCTATGGAAATTAAATGGAAGGAAAAGGTAGCTCATCGCACAGCAAGGGCAAAATGGTACTGAACAGATGAGATGCCGTGTGTTGAGATCTTTAACATTAAAAGAAGGGTATGGAAATGACTTGTTGAAGTGCTCTGGATGCCAAGTCCTTTAACATACTGCCATTAATCAAAAGAAATTCACAGAAGAGATGGACATAAATACCGCAGTACACCAAAATTGTGCAGGCAAGATAACTTGATAAAAGTCGTTTGAAGCTGATGGGTGGCATCAGATAATAAGCGGAGTTTTGTAAACATATCAAAGGTTCAGTGTTTACCATATAATATTTCACATCATTTGCAGGGTTTGATAAATTTGTATGGGGAAAAAAGAACGACAAATAAAGTGCTTTATGCCAGGCATCAGATAATAAGCGGAGATTATTAGTCCACACATGGAATTTTCCATTGAGAGTGTAGGATATCTGATCAACACTTGCCAGCAGGAAAGTAAAATAATTCTAAATATTTTAGAACAATATCTGAGAAGGGGTTCTTGGTTAGACCATTTGACTCCAGAGCAATAGCAAAGGCCGCAAAGGGTTGGTAAGTAAACCGTCTCACTATCCACGCTCGCTGCGTCCCCCTCAGATCCGGGTCCAGTAAAAAACTTGACTCCCAACTAAGAGGGAGAATAGGAACTAACGCAAACATGAGAAAAGGCAGAAGAAAAAAAGTAATTGAAAATGTAATGTTTGAGACGATTGGAGAAGATAGATAATGTTTCTTCTCGGATGCCAACCACAAGGCTAGCTCGGATGATGCAGACATATTTGTCCAGGAGGCCAAAACAGAGACCAGATAGCTAAAAAAACACAAACGAATAACAAAATCAGATATGTTGTTGATTCAGATCCATCTGGGTAATAATATACTCCCTCCGTTTCATATTAGTTGTCTCTGAAATGGATATATCTAGACATATTTCAATACTAGATAGATCCATTTGAGCGACAACTAATATGGAACGGAGGGAGTAGATATCATCAATGTATGAGTCAGGCCACTACTTTTTAACACTCAGCAACGGGATACATGAACGACAATCTCCAATCATAGGAAAGAAAAATCAAACGGAAACCTTATGAAGTACCCTCAGTTCAGGCCCACAGTTCTTTGACACTGAGAATTAATGGTTGAGCTGTCAGACAATGCTTTCTAGGCAAATTCAGACCACAGTGATGCTCAGAGCTCAGTGCATATCTCCATCCATGACACTAGAAGGTACACACGATCAAACAATACTCGAGCAAAAGTTAAGGAAGAGGATCATGGAACAACATAATATTCAAATTGGTAGACCAGGAACAATAGAAGATCAAATCAGTAGGCCGTAGGGATTATGCTTATGATTTTCATCAAGGAAGAAAACTCAGGTCTCAAATATGTGCCATCACTGGACTCACCGAACTGAGCTGCAGAGAAAACGACGACTTAAAAACCATCAAACACTCTATAAAATTTTAACATAGATCAAATCAGAAACACAAAAGTTCTATTTTGGAGGAAATCTGGTAGGTGGGCATCTGAATTGAAGACTTTCACAACATGGCACACAGAGCGCACCAATCAGTCCCGAAAGATGTGTGTTTTGTTCATGATTTTCATCACTCTCCGGCCAGATTCTCGACAATACACATAATATCTAAAGAATTTTGAAAGTATTCGGAAA